TTATGAATTAATATTAATAATATTTAAGTGTCAAACAATATAGAAACATGATCAAGTAATCTATCTAAATGTGAAACATTTTAAATAAGAAGTTTTCATTATAACAGGTTTTACTATCTTGTTATGGATTGGAATTAAGATTACACCAACATACAAGTGCTAAATTATTTTAAAAAGGCTTATTTGTAGTGACCATGTTGAAAACTTATAATGCTTATCTTTTTTCTCCGTGTAAATAAGCAACATGCCACACCTGGCATCTCATAAAAAACTCATTAAATAATGGCCCTCGTTTGCGAGCTGATCAAAATTTTAATTAATCAACAGACCGCTCTGCCGCTTTCTCCCTCTCTGTCACTCGTGTCGAAGCTGTCCCTGTCGCACTTTCTGGGAACGGGTGAATTACCTGGGCTAAGCCACGCCACCCGCCCACAATTTAGACGAGTCAGCCGTTTCCAAAGGCAGTTTCGAGGCATCGATAATTGGATTGAATGCGCCGATCCTCGGGCCAAGATGCCCGGCCATTTTCACGGCCAGATCCCGCGGATTTCCACAGGCTTTCCCTTAGTTTAAGTTCGGGGATTTGCGTGATCTTCTGCTGCCGATCTTCTGATCGCTCCTGATCCTCGTCGACTGATCATTGATCTGCGACTAAGCATTCGAAATAGTTGTTAAATATTTATTGGAATTTTATTAAGTCTAGCGCTTAGCCCAAACGGAAGTCTTTATCTTTTTCGGCTAAATTTCGCTCTCAGAAAATATGTGATAAGCTAAACTTAATGCAAATACCTCTAAAAAAGATTACTTTTGATATCACCCTAAATAAAACAATTAATCGATTCTATTTAACTCATACCTTTTATGATTTTATTATTGTTTTTTTTATATCATATAGAACTTTTTATCTTTATAAATTCTGAAATAAACAAGTATTTTTAGGTTCAAGATTTTTCTTATGTATTATTATTAATAAACGCACACAAAATTTTTAATCGTTTTAAATCCGCGTTCTTTAATTTCAATTTAAGCTTACATTTTGGCCAGACAAACACAAAGTGTCATGATTGAGCGAAGGAAACCCTTTCGATATTCAGTGGACATTTTTAATTAAATCAGTGCCCATGGCTGCAGCCGAAAACGCTCAATTATTAAAACAAATAAAGCCAATTAGCTGTGTCAACACGAAGCGCTGGTCGATGGTGGAAACTTCTGGATGGGCCAACCCCTATAGCAATTATGCTTTCGCTAAACATCCATCTCCAACCCCCAGCCGCCATTCGAAACCCCTTAACCCTCGATCAACACGGAATCCATGCAGACGGGAAGCTGTTTTAATTGACACTGAAAAGCCGTCGCCATCATCGCAGCTCAGACTTCCCAGGCATCCGAAACATCAGCATCCGTGGGCTTCCATTTGCGCGTCTAATAAAAACGCTAACGAGACGAGGGCGCTCACAGATACAGGGATACGGTTTCTGAGATACTGTATCTATGCATCTGGCAGATGGGCAAAAGCGGAAGATTACGGGGGACTGAAGCACTATCACAAAATTCTTCAACGGCACAATTAATTTTTGTTAAATATTTTCTGGAAAGAAGTGGGGATACGAATTCAAAAAAAAATGATTAGGAAATCTACTGATAAGAGAAATTCCTTGCTGTTTTTCTTAAGATATAAATAAAGCGCACATTAATATAAATAGTCTGAAAAGTCAGAAGGCGATAAATAATAAATAATACAAGTAATGACTAGATCTAGCTATCTCAAAGTATCTGTTCAGAATCAATTTAAAATTATAAGTGAATACTGATTTTAAACTCTTTTTATGATTAGAATTAAAATGTCTATTTAGTATTTTAATGATAATGAGTATTTTTTCAGTCGAGTAGTTGAATTTTTTGAAGAGTATTTAAAAAAAAAAGAAGTTTATGCTCAAAATTCGATTGTGTTGGTATAAGTAGAAATAAATTCCCTCCGAGTTAAGGAGACATCGAGTCCCAACCAACCAGATACAGATACAGATGCAGATACAATGTAGCCTACCCACTGAGAACCCCCTTTGGCACCCCACCCTGCGAAATAACCCCCGCTGGCATCTGGCAAAGCCGTGCAAAGTACTCGTGATAATGAGCTCCATCTCGTTGGCAATTATTAAATGAATTGGATTTATACGCTGTGGCACCCCCACCCTCTCTCACTCCTCTCTCCCTCTGGCATCATGCCTCCCGCTCACTCCAACGGAAGATAGTGTCCAACCCCTTGTTAGCAGCTGTCACCTACTGTTGTCTCGCTCTTGCCCACACAGATACTGCGAACAGCCAATCAACGACAGCTGTCGGTTTATCTCGTTCGCCGGCTGTGGAACATGGAAACTTCTTGTGGATTGCATTTCCCATATGCAGAGAGACCGGGACAGACGAATATCAGTGTGAAATGGAGTATGGAAGAGGGTGCTTCCACTGGATGAACCTAATTTAAGGCGACTTTAATTAGTTTACTTTAATGCAAAACAACTCTTCTTCCTAGAATATTGTATTAGTTACTTAGGGATAATTAGCAGATAAACTGAAGTGGAATTAACAGGCGTAATTATTAAATCCTTTAAAAGGACATTTATGGCAGAGGCCACCTATTTGATTAGTTTTCGTTAATGTTTTTATCGGAGAATAACATATAGTATTTTAGGATAACCTCTTTAAATATTATTGGTTGCTTATATAATAATTAGTTTAACAGTTGTTTGTTTTCACTACAAGTTAAGTCCAGTTATTGCTAAGTTTGTGGACGGATGCACCTTTATGCCCCGGAGAATATAGCCTAGGCTTAATTATTAAATGGCTTTATGGAAAATAACACCGAAAATAGACATTTTAAATCTTTAATGGAGCCCCTCGAAATATTTTAATAACTATAATCTGGGAAATGTCACATATTTTTAATTTTGGGTACTTTGAAAATGAATAATTTTGTAGTTCTGTTGTTGGTATCTTTTTTAATATATCTTAAAATAAATTTCCTCTCAAAAAAACCGAATAAAAACTTCCAAAAGTTACCTCGCGTTTCGCGAGCTGATAAACCAGGCATTTGCAGCATTTTATCTTTTTGGCCCACCTTCTGGTCATATATCAAGTGCGGTAAATGCCAAAAAATACGCCCCGAAAATCATTGATTGGCGATCGATAACCTTTTGCAGTGATGGAGCATCCCATAAAGTTCTCTCCCAGCTCATTGTCTGACTAATTAAATGATTTATCCCGAAACGTGAGCAGAAAGAGGAGAAAAAAGAGTAAAAACCAATTACAATTACCGCACCCAGAGGTGCCACACTCACAGAAACACTCGAACACAGATACGGATACTCGATTCTCGGGTGCATCTGCGGCAGCAAAACTGCTGGCCCATCGACAACCGGCCTTATCTAGATGCATACAAATCCAGCCAAGCGCACGTCAATTTATTTGCCAACCTCTCGGCTCCTTTCGGCCAACATCCATTCATGGCCAAAAGAGGAGGAGGGGGGCTGGACTCGTATGTATTTACCTATGAGAAGTCTGCGACGTTGGCGCTGCATGTTTTATGCCTCCTCCTGCATCTTTAACGAGGTGTTTATTTTCACAACTCACAGCCGGCGGATGAGGATGAGGATGACCAGATACAGATACAGATACAAAAGCAGAGTATCTGTGAGATACTCGCTGCGAGTGTGCGCCGGCATCGCAGTTGCATCCCGCCGAAGGTGTAGAAACCAAGTTACCGCCCATTTTCATGTCCAAATGCTTTCGACCAACATGATGCAGATGCCAATTCGAGCCAATTCAGAATGGTGGTAAGGCCATGGGTGGAGAGGGGGGCCCAGTGGACCGGGGGGTGGTGGGGTTAAAGCCAGCACTGACGACGGGGCGTCTAAGCCATATAAGCGATGACGTTGATTCCGATGCACAGTGGAGTCGAAAAAAACAAGATTTATGTATGTTTAAAAAGTATTTTTGAATTTTGGCTGTGTAGATTAAATTTAAAATTTCTTTGATGTCAATAAGGAGTGCTTTTAAAAAGAGAAATATCAACAAATTACTTGAAAAGCCTTCGAAAATGGCATTAAATATCAATTTAGAGCTCATATAAGGAATAATATTTATGTTAAGAACCTTAAAAATACAGCTATTTATCCACTGTTCCAATGTCCTGCCCACCTCCCCCTCTCTACGCCCCATCAAGCTGGCCAACCCGCTTGGCACTAAAACCACAAACGCTTTAATGATGCTGTTTTGTTTAGCGCAAATTGTTTGTTTCGCTGTCATAAACTGGTGCGAAAAATGGCCAAGAGAGTAAGAGAGAGAAAGAGAGAGAACTTGGCCCCTCACACAAACACACTTACACCCACTCAGAGAGCGGGAGAGCGAGCGAGAGAGGAGGTGGCTCCACTTGGAGCAGAGCAGGTTTTGGAATGCCAGCTAGACTATATCCGCACTGCTTCGGCGCAAGCGCAGTACGATACACGTGCAAGCGAGATGCCTGCTACACGGCTCCCACTGGAAGCAGAAGCGGAAGAAGAAGCAACGTTGGCCCCACTTGCTTTTTGCGGCTTTCCATCGCGACACTCGAGCCAAAACGCTCAGCGTGAGAGCCACGCAGCGATTCGCCGACGCCCCCGCTTAGAACAAGAGAGAGAGACGGAGAGGGAGAACAGGGAACGAGAAAGCGAGAGAGAGGGCGAGCGGTGGAGAAGAGCCAACACCAACAATTAGACGCCTTTAGACGCTCCATAATGCTAATGGCGTTGACAGTGCTCATCATCATCGCAGCGCGGCCACCGCAATCGTTTCGTTACCGCGTACCGTTATCCGTACCGCCACCGTCAATCGCCGCCGTCAATCGTCCATCGAAGCGGTACGGTCACGCTCCAATCGCCGCGTCGTCGCCGCTCCAGTTTATCAATGTCAATCGCCGACGGATGCCAACCAGCCGCTGGAGCATCGCAGATACAACGCCATAGCCATAGCTATCTGATCTAAAAAACAGTGCGTGTGTGCTTATCTATTATCTAGTAACTACGAGGAGTAACCCCCGTTTGACCGTGTTTCTATAGCCTCAACCACTGAAACCATTAAAAAGGTTCGAAGCTCGATCAATACACCCTTTTTTCCGCTTCCGATTCTGATCAAGTTTGGCTGCGCAACAATTGATAATAAAGAAAATGTGTCTAAAACTAGCGCAATTTTAAAAAAAATATCAGAAAATTCTATTATAAATATACATTCATATTTAAATGAACTTCTAAACTCAGAGCTTTAAAACGCAAAAAAAAATTAACGTTTGTTTCCGATAATATTAAAATTATCCTAAAATTGACTTTAGGCCGATTTTAAATGCAATTTCGGCCGATTTTGGCGTAATTAAAAATTATTACTTTTTTGATTCTAAATCAGATATGTTCAGATCTTCTCTTGAAAAGTAAAATATAAACTATTTCAATTAGGAATTCAGCCAATTTTGATTAAATTAGAAAACGAAAACTCGGTTTATATAATTGATTATAAGTGTTTTATAATCTACTTCGACTTACAGAGACTTCGAATTGGTAAAGTTCGAACTTGAGGAGTGGACAGTGTTTTATTTAATTTTTAAATCGCATAAACCCCTACCAAATGGTCACCTGCGGCCGGCAAACGTTCAACATGCTGCCCATGGCGCCGACGAGTCCTTTTGTCAGCAGCAGCTCCTCGATGGCCGCGACCTCCACTTCCGTTTCTGCCAGCTCAGTTTCCGCTTCCGCAGTGGGCAGCAAGCCCAAGCTGGCCTTCAGCATCGACTCGATCGTGGGCGAATCCTCGACGAGATCGACTCCATTGAGGGTCAGTGTGATATCCTCGCCGCCGCCGCGCAGCGAAAGTCCCGCCTCGCCGACGAATACCAACAACAGCGGACGGAGAACGCCCAGAGGATATATATACTGCCGGAGGCGGGATTCGCTGGACCGATCGCGAAGTCCACAAAGATCACCGGTCAGCCGCTCGCCAACGCCTCCGAATGGCAGTGGAAATCCTCCAGCGGCGGGGATTCCCAGTCCACCAAAATCGGGGGACTTATCCCAGTCGATTGGAAATCCACCCGCTCCTATTGGAACCCTCATCCGTCCGATGCCCTTGCCGGCGCCGAATTTAGCTTTAATCCAGAACCGCACCTCACCGAACCAGATGGCGGTGCGAATGGCGGGTCCACCGCACCCGCCGCCGCCCCCGTTCCTTGCCGCCCAGTTCCAAATGGCCGCTGCACTGGCCCATCACCACCAGCAGCAGCAGCAGCAACAACAACAGCATCCGCCCGTGCCAACTGGACCGCCACATGGTCCGCATCCGCATCTGCCGCCTGGCCAAATCCCGATGGGGATTTTTCCGGGCGGACCGCATCCGGGACATCCGCCGCCCCACGGACATCACCCCTTTGGGAGTGCTCCGCACCTGATCCGCGATAGTTATCCGCTGTATCCATGGCTGCTCAGTCGACACGGACGCATTTTTCCACGGTTTCCGGGCAGTAAGTACTTCCACTATCAATGTAAATCAATGAATTGCCTATTCAAATGTGGTTAGAATGTTCGCTTAAAAATATATCTTTCGAAAGTTGCTAAATATAATTTTATATTCGTTATATTTTCCAAATGTTTTTTAAAATGTAGTTTAAAGTTTTTCTTTTAAAAATTTAACCAAAACGCATACTTAAACCACATGCCTCTTCTAAAATATTAAAAACATTTAATAACCTAACCGGTAACGGAATATTAACCGGTTTAGCAAGAAGTTTTAACGTGCGCTCGTTACAAATCGATTTCTAAAAGTGAGAAATTGAAAATTAATGTAAATTAACAAATTTATCAATTAAGATATATTTATTTAACTAGGAATACTTCAAAAGTAATGAAATACCTTATGCAGTTTATGATAATTGCTATGGCAGTAATTCAAATTTTTATAATTGAATATTTCCATGCTTGAATTAATAAAATTAAATTCCTAAAAGGTTTTTTTTATATAGTTAAGCAATTATCATCCGAAATAATCTAAATTTTAAACACATAAATGAATTCAAAAATTCGGAGAAGAAAATATAAAATAGGCAACCATTTATACCACAAAAATATTTTAGAGATATTTATACCCGTTACTCGTAGAGTAAAAGGGTATATTGTATTCGTGCAAAAGTATGTAACAGCTAGAAGGAAGCGTTTCCGACCCTATAAAGTATATATATTCTTGATCAGGATCACTAGCCGAGTCGATCTAGCCATGTCCGTCTGTCCGTCTGTCTGTCCGTCTGTCCGTTCTCCGTCTGTCCGTCTGTCTGTCCGTATGAACGCTGAGATCTCGGAAACTATAAAGCTAGAAGATTGGCATTTTGCATGTAGATTTTAGGAGTTCCTACGCAGCGCAAGTTTGTTTCAAAAAGGTGCCACGCCCCCTTTAACGCCCACAATCGCTTATATACGATTTTAAAAATTTAAATATTTCGGAAAAGTAAAAATGCAGTTTTATTGTGTTTATCAATACCTATCGAAATGTAGAAGAAATTTTTCAAATCGGACCATTCGTTAAAAAGTTATGCGTGATCAAAGTTTCTATCTCCATCTCCCTCGCACTCCCTTTACCTGAGTAACGGGTATCTGATAGTCGGGGCACCCGACTATAGCGTTCTCTCTTGTTTTTCTATAAAACTATTACTTAGACACCATTTGAGAAATTCAATGCACTATATTTAAAATATTCACCATAATAAACTAAGTAAGTTTTGAATATGGTTCGCTTAAGAGAGTTTTTTCTAGTCATTATGGCCGTTTCAAATGGCCGTTGAGTGCCGTGAACCAAAGAGGGAAAGAAACCACACCTAAAACTCATATTTGAACCCCTTTTCCATCGCCATTATATAATAGTGGAGAGAACCTCAATCAAGCAATTATTCAGTTATCGCTGTTGTTGCCGCGCGGCTCCATATAATTAAAGTTAAATAAGCAAATGGCAAACATTTATTACAAGTTAATTAGACGTGTATCAGACTCATCATCATCAGAGGGAGAGCGACAAGGACGGGGATAGAGTGAGAGTGAGAAGGAGAAGGAGAGAGAGAAAGGCGAACCAAACCCATTTTGATAACTATTTCCAAACAAATTACATTTTAATTAAATTGTTTAAACAACATTACACACATCGTTAGGTCAAGCAGCGTACCTAAATGGCCAGCCATGTGTGTATTTGTTTTTTTCTTCTTTTTTTTCAAAATTACCATTAATGGCCAACAGACGGCGCCAGTTCTTGATATGGCGGGCCCATGCGGCGTATGTGTAACGTACGAAAAGTGCAACCAGTGAAATGTTAATGCGTTTTTAATTGAGGTTTTGGGGCAACCAAGCCAAGAACCGAAGAACAAAAAAAACTGAGAGATAGAAACGAAGAGCAACCGCAAAGCGCATCTCAAAAACATTGTCATTTATTACGCTTTAACAACTTTTTTTCATTCGCTGCTCTCATAATTACCATTTGAATTTCCAGGCCATGTTGTTTTGCTCGTTTTTGTTTTTTTCTACCGGGTAAATATAAAAACAATTTTCGGCACACTCACACGCCTTTCACCTGCCCAAGTGTACGTATATCCCCGTTACGCCTTAATTATGTTGTACGCCGTTTCATTATTTTCTCCCTTTTCCCATTTCCCGCTCGACTTCTCCTTCGTTTTTCTCACTTTTCTCCGCGCTGCCTGTAATTTTCGCTTGATTTATGAACGTGAAATGTCAATGTTTCGCATAACGATTTCATTAATTGTAAATGTTTTTCGTCTTCGTTTGTTTCGTAACTCGTGTGACTAATGCCAGGTTACAGGGGTTTGTTTTTTTTAAGGCGGTTGGTATACAAGATAATGGGGATCATCGCGATAGCGGTGATGATGAGTCAGTAACTCAATTCAGGTTGCACGTGCTGCAATTTCTGGGTGTGGCCCTCTAATGCAGCTGATGAAGTTCTAGGAAAAGGGTAACATCAACCAGCTTGAGATCCTTATTATTGAAGGCTCGGAAAAACTGCATTGTGTCTTCTTATAATTCAATGTTGAATACAATATTTTCATTACATTGTATTTTAAATTAATATATATTGATTAAACTCTCAGAGGGAAAGACATTTTAAAACTTTATTCATTAGCTTCCAGTACAACTAGTTTATCAACAAAATTAACCTTCTATATGAACAATACATTAGTGGCTGGAAAAAACAAATTCCTTTTACTATATTTGATAGCAAAACTGGTTCAAAAGCCTACCATATTGGTACATATATTGGCTAAACTTTACTAGTCACTTATTTAATAACTGCAACTATTTGGTACGTGACTTTATTTCGTAGCTAATCAGAAAAAAGGATACGGCTTCATATTACTAAAGAAAAAAAAATGATTATAATATATAGTTTTCACAATTAAGTATTTTAAAAATACATACTTATTGGACTTATAATCAGATCTAAGAATACCTTATCGAAATTCACCATGTTATTTCTTGACCCATCTAAGTAGTAACTTCAATTATATCAATTAAATTTTGTTTACCCCCGTTCAAAACCATTATCCCAACAAACCCACAAAATCCCATTCATATATCCCAACTGCAAATGGCAATTCCCGTCAAATCGATCATGACAACATCCCCGACTGTCTCATCATTTGATTTCAATTATCGATTCCGAGTCATTGTCCTCGGACGCGGGGCACTCGAGGAATGCAATAAATTAATGAAAAAATCATGAGAGCATAAAAATTAAGCCCTAACTCCATAAAAAAGAAAGCAAATACAATTGCACACAAGTGATAAATAATAAGGCGAACAAAAAGGCCAGGACAGTCGAACAAACGAAAACGAAACGAATCGATCGTCCCGCCACTTCCATCATGGGCCAAAAAAAAAAAATAAGGTACGAAGTACATCTAAAAAAATGACAGCTGACAAGGGTGTGAGCCACTGCAAATCCAACAACATGGCCAGCAGAGCGGACACATCAATTAATTGTCAATTGCGCGTATTTTCGCACGGCGGTTTCCTTTGTGTCCCCGAACCAAAAAAAAAATATAAAAAAATAAATACACACACTTCATTGAGAGCTGCTGCTGCAGAGCTAGAAAAAAGGCAGAGAAAAAATAATTAAGTGGCCATTGTGAGCGGCGGCATTATCAATTATACAGCTTCTTCTAAGGCGCTGGGCAGTCGTGTATCTTGTAGCTACATTGTTAGCTGTCAAATGTAACAAATGTCAAGCGATCGCCGCGGACTGTAAAAAACAAAAACAGAACTAGATCACTCTGGATGCTGCGGCTTCCTCTTGGCAATCGTTTGTCAAGTTCATAGCAAAAACCAGGCACGCAGTCAGTCAGTTGCATCTGTCAGATACACAGATACATGGCCATCAATGGTTCGAGGCTGCATTTATGAAGTGTCGAATTGACAAGTTCCCGTTCCCATTCCATTCCCGTTCCCTATCCCGAACCCTCTTCCACCCGGGCCCTTTATTGTTTTTCCAGCCCGACAGTGCTAACAAGATACATTTCTGGGGTTGTATCTTGTATCTAATGGCTTCGCGCCCTTTCGCCTGCCTTTCTCTATTAGCTGTTTATTTTCCCAGTGGCTTAGCTTCTGTGTTGTTGTGTTGCGTGGACTTCCTGCCGCCGAAATCGATTCGACTCTACTATGTCAATATTGATTTTGTAATTGGCACACCTTGCGGGTACCAGACGATCCTGTGGCTTAGGCTTATTCACTAAATTATATCACAACAAGTCTAAGAAAGAATGGTTAGGTTAGGGGATCAGACTTTCAGTTAAATAAGGCCAGGCATCTTAAGATGACAGCCAAAGAATGTACAGGAATAAATGTTTGTCACAAAAAGTCATATCCTTTTCAGAAAACTGAGTTGGTTAACCAATGTGTGACAGAAATTGCTTAAGCTGTTTATATTATTTTTGTCCTCCGCAAATATGAGGATTTAAATTATATTAAAATCAATTCATTGACCTCCCTACATTTAATTGTTATCCACCTGTTAGAAATAAATCCTTTATAAAAGTCCATTAATATTTCAATTATTTATTTGGTCAAGTTCCACTGTATTCCATTATTTTTTCGCCAAACAAATTCCTTTGCACCGTCAGAAATCTCAGCTGCATCTCGCACAGTAGCCCCTGCCTCATATCAATATTCAAATTGTGGCTCAATTGAAAATTTGTTAACTCGCAGCCGCATAAGCGGCAGTGGGACTTGGCTGCGCGGAGGAGCTGGAGATGGAGGTGGGCATGGGGATCTGGGCTTCCAGAAATCGTGATAAACGTCAAAATATCACGTTGTGCCGGCTGGAAGGAAGAACAATGGGTCCTCGGTCCTCCAAAGAGGCGTCGTTGGCGGCTTTTAGGCGCGCTAAAGTGTTCGGCTTGGCGTCCAGGCTAAAGGAAAGAAAGCCAGCCCAGTCTTGGCCGGGCCAATTGTTTTGGCCTTATCAGCGATTCTGGGACATGGCCCAAACACACAGCGCCGACAGCGGCACGAACCAGAAGCCTTTGTGTTTGCTGGCCCATGTCTGGAAATTTGTTTATTGTTTTGTAATGAGCGTGTGCAACATGTGAGTGGCCAGTGTGCGGCATCTTTGCTCGCGGCATTCGCGGAATTCATAATCAACAATTTGAGGCACAACGTCATCTAATTGGCAGAGCCACCAGCGGAGCTTGAGATCCTCTTGTTGCCAGATGCGGTATATAAACATCCATATAGCTAATAAATATAGCTGCAATCACATTATAGACCCAAAGACTATTCCATTATATTACTGAAACCCTAAAAATAAATAATGATATTTGTGCTTAATATGCTTTCAAATACTATGCATTTTACTAAGTATTTTAGATAGTTACGGTTTAACTTTCGGGTTTTAATAAACATCTCTTCTTAGATTGCTGATAAATCATGATTTATGAATATTTTTTAAGAAAATTGTTATAAGAGTCTATTCAATAGTTAATTTATGTTGTCATTAATTCAGTAGATTCAATTAACATGCTATCTCTTTTCAAACTGCCGATTAACTTTTTATTACTAGGAAAATTAGTAGAAATAAAAATGTATAGCGTATGCTGTATAAAACTTGTAAAATAAATTATAGGTTTAAGATTTCATTTTAAATACATTTGAGGCTTAACAGTTAAAAATTTTATTTTTTTATTTATAAAAGTGTAGATATTTTGTTGTGGCTAGGCAGTGTTTCCCCAAGGGGACACCCATTAAAGCAACTATTAAACTGAACTCACTTTCCCGATCTCTTGCAGATTTCCTGTTCCAGCCATTCCGCAAGCCGAAACGCGTTCGCACCGCCTTCTCGCCGACGCAGCTGCTCAAACTGGAGCACGCCTTCGAGGGGAATCACTACGTGGTGGGGGCGGAGCGCAAGCAGTTGGCCCAGGGACTCAGCCTGACCGAAACCCAGGTGAGATGGGCTGCACTGGGCTTGGGTGGCAGCCCTTAATGCGCATCAAATTCAATAAGCACCCCCAGTTCAACCCCTTTGGCTAGGGGCTAAGTGATTGCATGTCGTCTGGTCGTTAGCCCAAGAAGTGCCGGAGTTACTGAGTTATTAGCGCTTCGGAACGGGCAGGGGATAGGGTTAACAGTGGCACTTGACTTTTCACCCTCGGGGGCATAACTGGGAGGCAGGCCGTAAATAGAATTAAAAGACTCGTTAAATTTATTTACGACTTGCCAAAAAAAAAACGGAAAAACAAAAGCTAAATCGAAGGGTTAAGGACCCTCCCACAAAATAGCTACCCCAAGCTCAATTGTTTCCTGCAAGTGCACTAGGGAAAATATTTCTACCTAATGGGGGTTAACATAGAAGGAATAACAATATGATGGCCATTGAAATGGTAGACACCAAGCTTAAAAATATTTGGAATTTATTAGGTACTCACTTTTAAATCGAGTCCAATTCTTAACGATCAAAGTTCTTTTTACTCCATTTAAATGTTATTTATATCCAAAAAATGAAAATATTCAGTTTTTAATACAAATATAAATTATAATTCGTTGTCTTTTTGTAAAATGATGGTTTTATACCATTTAGGATCCATCCCTTGAGTCATTATATAAGGGATTTGGTTCTAACTTAGGCAAAATACGTCGCACAGCCAAACGAATGACTTTGTGTTGCAGCTGAGGACCTAAAATATCCATTTCAGGTTGAATTGGAGAAATTTATTTTTTTATGGATTTTTGAATTTTTTATAAGGGGTTACATTGTATTTTTTTGCTGAATTGGACCAAAATTAAAATTTTTAGCTGTGAATGCCACTTGATTGGAAATTTAATAACGAATTCAACGAGATATGGCAATCCAATATTTGACGATTATTTATCAGAGTTTTGACAAAAAAACCGAAACTCCATTGGATTTTTTTCGAAATTTTGGCCATCAGTTGAGTTGACGATAACCTGTGCCTATCTCATATATAAGTGCACGCTATTATTAATGTTAGATTTAATGCTTTGATTAAAAATAAAATCTTGTAAATCAAATCAAAGAAGGTAGTAAGATAGTTTTTTAATAGACAAGATTTTAAGCTCTATTAATTTCTTATTATAAGATATACCAAAAATTTTGCCATGTTCTAACCATTTATCCCTCATTTCTATTCTCCAAAAGGTGAAAGTGTGGTTCCAGAACCGTCGCACCAAGCACAAGCGGATGCAGCAGGAGGGGGCGACGGGAGCGACACCAAGAGCAACAAGGGAAGCTCCTCGGGAGGCGGAGGGGGTGGCGATGGGGAGGACGATGCCAAGCACGATGGATCGCAGCATAGCTATGAGGACGCAGAGGATCCGGAGGACGACGACGAGATCGAGGAGGACGACGAGGACGAAGTGATCGATATGGATGACTATGGCAGCGAAATGGATGCGGAGGAGCACCAGCGACTGCGGGAGCAATTCCAGCAGCAATTGGCCCAGCACCAGCAACAGTTCCTCCAGCAACAGCAGCAAAATCCGGGGGATGCAGCCACCCTCAGTCCGCAGCAGCAGCATCAGTTGCTGCAACAGCACCAGCAACATCTGCAGCAGCAACACCAGCAGCAGCAGCAACACTTCATCCAGCAGCAGCAACTATATCTGCGGGAAAGGGAAAGGGAGAGGGAGCGGGAGAAGTCGAGGGAGAGGGAAAGGGAGCGGGAAAAGTAGTAACTAAACAGCTATCTCCGCTATTTTGTGTTCCTTTAATTTCATGTAAATTATTTGTCAACTGTATAGCTTAATTTTAATTGTTTAATACTTAAAAAATAAATAACAAAGTGAATAAATAAAGAAAAGCAAGATCTTAAATGGAAGCAAGTCCTTAAATAATTGTATTTATCAACTCAAACATTTATCAAACAATAATAGCATTAAACAAGTCAGGAAAATCCACATATGATGGCCATTTATTGGCAAACTTTTGCCATTGCATGATAAACTCATTGCAAATGCACAATAACTATCGATCAGCTGCCAAAATATAACCAATCAAAGGGCCCAATAAGTCCTATTGCTAACAAGGCTTTTCCTTTATTGAGTTGTTGATGGAAACCTTCAGTCGCCCCGAAAATTGTTTTGTGCTAAGCATTGACAGTATAAAGTGCACTCAACAATTACGAGTTACGGTCTCATAAAGCGGCCAAAAAATAAATGTCAGTAACTAAAGGCCGAAATTGATGGCAAAAATATATATTCAAAATGCAAACGATTGCCAATAAAGTAGATTTACTATACAGAAATTGCTTCGGGCTTACATATATGCATATGGAGCAGCCCGAAGCTAATGGGCCAGCAATTTGGGTTCATTTAAAGCGAAACGCGAGCTAAACCAAAAATTAAACTGACAAAACGGGAGGAGATCACAGAGTGGCCAAAAATATATGAGCCCGCTGGCAATGGCGAACCGAAAAATATACAAAAATACAAATAAATTCTCCGTTTTTTTTTTTGTTGTTGTTGATATGGCAGGTTAGGCTCCGGCGATCCGGCGAAAAGTTCAAGGTAATTGCCGTTGTCAAAGCAGCGCAACGAAAAGTGGGCGGGCACCGTGAAAACTTGGCCAACAATTTATGGGCCACTTGACTACAAGCAAAGGGTGTTGAGGTTGCACGCGAGCAATCAGCAGAACACCAGAGAACCCGATGTTCCACCACTGGGGTAGAGTGCCTGGAAAATTCTCGTATTTTGCATAAACGATGTGAGAATTACTTAATTGCACTTGGAATGGGCCCATGCCCACATATGCAATTATATATATCGGTTTGCTCTGCGTTTCCTCTGTGGGCCGCGAATTTATGAGTCTTTCGGCTCGACCCACAAAATGAAGTTGTCTACGGCGAAATGCAGGTGTCTCAGCTGCTCGAAATCCGGGTGGTGACTTCAGGGCATTGGAGGGTGGCCATTGTGGCAGCGGTCGGGGTCACCAGGCACTTCATTTTGTTTGCCCCTCTGATAGCTGAACATTTTGGCAAATATGTGACTTTGTTAGATGGCAGCTTGAGTCGAATATTGTCCACATGTTGTTGGTCATGTCGGTCAACAGTTCACAAGGTAAGTGAAAATTCATAATGCAATTGAAAATTTTAACCGCTAGTGACCTTTCGTATGTCAAAAATGAGTTTTAATATAGATTATTAAGACAGTTTGGTTTTTATTACGCGTTATTTTTGATGTTAAACAAGGTTGTGATTACACTCATTACAAATTTAAGAAAGAAATTAGAAGTATTGTATCAACCGTTATTTAAAACTTATATTTGAATATATATATAATATACTAACATACCTAAATTTAAAGCATTTGATTTTCATTATCTGGTGTTAACAAATGTTGTATTTATCACACTGTTAGTAATATAAAATATTTATGACTACTTTATTAAACATTCAATTTTTTTTAGTTTTTAAGCTTATTAAGTATTTAATAATATATAAATTTAATTGTATAATTAGTAGTAACTACAAAATTTAAACATAAAAGTTACATCAAATAGTAATTAATAGTTATTTTACATTTTGCATTTATGCAGCGCCTTTATGCATTAGTAGCTTTATAGCTTTCGACTTATCAGCAGCATAAAATAATCTAATTAAATTTTATAAAATTTATGGGCTTTTCATACAAAAAACAAATTAGGCTTTTTCATACCTTTTAGAAATAGCCCACAAAAGTTATATTTATTTTACTAACAAGCGCATTGAAAAATCGACTTTCCCCCAGTTTTTCTTGGCTTTTCCGTTGGCAAACCCTTTCGTTTGATTTTGGCGTGTCTGCCAGCCGCGATGACGAAGACAAAGACGATGGCGATGACTTTGAAAACAAAGCGAAAGGGAAATGGCTTTCAGCCAAGGCACTTGGAGCATATTAAGGGCGTCATTAGTTCCCCAGGCACTGCAAATTTGACAGGTGAGAGGAGTGAGGGGCGCCAGCGATTGAAGGGCCTGACACTTGCTGCAGTGCAGCAGCAACTGCAACAGCACGGCAGCAGTTGCAACACCAGCAGCTCAGCAGCGACATTAACCCTTTGGATATTGGAATATTTGTTGTTCTATAAAACATTTTTGTTGAAGTTCCTTACAAGCTTATTTCAAATAAATCTTTCAAAGAGAAAGGCATACAAAATTAGTATCTTATTCAAATTTATGAAAAAGACTTCCCGAAAATCCAATCAAATAATTGTATGAAATAGTATTTTAAATCTTTGTAAAATCGCGAAAATTACATTTATTAACTTGTAGAACCAAAACAAAGTCTGAAAAGAAAAGAACTTGAATCCATTCAGATGAATACTTTTGTTTTCAGAGAATATTTCTTCCGATACAAGTTAAAGACCGAAAGGGTCATCAGTCTCCCAAAGTCAGCCAATGGGTTAACCCAAAACGAACGTGCTGGCAACGGCGTAGGCGTCCGGGTTGTTATTGTTGTGTCAGGTTTCAGCTATTTAGCGGCAATTTGTATGGGAAAAGTTTGCCAAATGTAAACGGAATTGCAGTTTAAACCTCATTTGGCGAACTTCGTGGGCGGTCTATATATAAAAAAAAAAAACAAATCAGCAATAGCTGCAATACCTGGAACAGCCATAAAAATAGTACGTTTAATAATTGCAAAGTGTTTCTTATTCGCCTTCATTTCCAGGTCGTAAATCAACGATTTCTCAGTCAGTCTCGGCTGGCGCCTACTGCTCGGACGTAAATTTAATTGAAAGACTGGGCCAGAAAACCAAAGACTGGGCCAAAACCAAACCAAAAATGCCCGCCAGAGTTTGAGGCGTCAATTGGCAAATTGGTTTCCATGTCGGCCGACAGGAAAAGTTAATTTTCTCGCCGCCATAAATAACACTCTGATCGACTGGAACTGAGGCATGGTCGGAGGATCTCCATCTTTTCCCAATGGGAATAGGAATCTCCTTTGGCAGGTGAGCATGGGTGCTGTCCATTTCGATTCCGATTGCCATTCCTTCGGAGGCCATAAGCTATATTTTTTAATGCTTTTTTAATTGGAAATGCACACCAGCACGCTGATGACGCCCCAAACTGCCAGTTTTGCCATTACGTAATTGCTATTTAATTATCCAGTCGACTCAAAAGTCAAGAAATAATTTTGAATTGCATTAATAAAAAATGTATGCCCCATAGCATACCGCCAAATTAATTATATTTTTACTCTAATTTTTTTTTTTAACATTTATTTAAACCAATAAACATTTAATTGTTTACCGATATCCTTTATGCACAATTCCAGAAAGCTACAGTTTTATAAAAGTTAATGAAGATTTTTAGTTTATTTTTTCTTTATGTATCTAGATTGCAAATCTGAAGTATAAAAAATGTTTTTGTTAATTGAACGAACATCTACAAATATAAAAAGAGAGTATTAAACATCCGACACAAGAATTTAGAAAAGACTTTTTAATTGACTCTGTTAATTAAACACTTTAATAAATAGCCAATTAAGCCAAAGTTGCACGGCATCTTTAACAAATATTATAAAAGCAAGCCATTGCAAAAGTGTTTCTGCAAATATAGAAAGTTAAGTTACGGTCGTGAAAAATCTGTGACAGATTGCCACACAAATGATTTGTTAATTTCGTATAATTGTGGATTTCTCGGAGTGGAAAATTTATGTGGCTGCCCCTGATGAAAATTAACATTAATTAGGCACGAAAAAGCGGTAACCAATTCAATTTGATGCATTCCGGGCTCATTCTCAAAATTCTCTCATTTTGTGGAAATTAATGAGCGTTCATTTGGCGCACTGCGCGGCCACGCCCACAATGTGCACGCAAGCTTTATTTTCTCCGGGTTTTCGTTTCTTTCCCTTCTTTTTCTAAAGAATCTTCCTTAGTTATATTTATAAATTAATGGCCCAAGATAAATGGCAAGTGATTTGTATTAAGAAACGCTTTTGGAAACCAAATTGGGCGCCGGAACACTTTAAATGTCTTCGCTCTACTTTCTGGGAGGCCCCTAATTTTTGGAAGGGAGTTCAGAGGGTGTGCTAGCCATGAATCTCTCGTATTTCCATTTCGAGTCCCTTTTGAGGGTGTGGCAATCGGAGCAAGTAATGAATTTGAAGCAAATTGCGGGATAGATCCGAACTCGGTTGGGCTATAATGATGATGAGTTCTGATGAGTTGTATGACTCACAAAATTCATAGCCTGGTGAAAGTCTTGCTATGAAGTAATACAACAATAACAATATAAATCGCTGAATTCATAATAAAAATTTAATCGACCAAAACCTTTAAAAATTGTATACCCTTTCAGAGGATATTATAAATTCAGTCGAAGGTTTGCATTACAGTGAAGGGTACTGCACCAACCCTATAGAGTATTTCAAAGTGACATCACTTTTAAAACTCGTGGCTTAATTCTCTAAAAATCCTCATTCAAATTTTCCATTTTATTGTTGATCAATTTGTTGGCCCATTTTCGTGTAAGTTATTTTAAAAATTTTGGATGACTTGTAAAATGGTGACCCACAATTGGACTTCTAGAGTCCATAACTTTAACAAATTTAAACCGATTTCTATGTGATATACCTCTTAAGACTTGTGGTTTGATTCTCTAAAAATCTACATTTCTTTAACGTTGAAGAATTTTTTTTGGATAGATAAAAGAGCAAATAAACTTTTCAAGACATTAACAAAGTGTCTACAAAAATTAAAACTTGGTCGAAAGATCTTTATTGATAACCCCCATTAATCAGCTTTAATAAAAACGCCCCTGATTAAATTTACAACAATACTTTGTTTGATTTTGTACACATATTTC